GCTGGATAAATGTACAACACATCCCACAGTAAACTGTGAGCATATCGTCTCATATTAACACAAATATACAAGACTGCATATCGTCTATTGTCTGATGGAAAAGGTGGTGAACTCGTCTGTCCTGGAGGGGTTCCTGGCAGACAAACACGACAGACCTACTGTTATATGGCTGATGGTGAAGTTCACAGTCATGATTTCTGGCTCCTGATTAGCTTCATCTTGGGTTAGACTGATACTCGGGCACTCGTGGAGTTTTTAGACTCCTGTCTGGGTTTTATTCACAACAAGAAAGTAAATCTGTAAATGTACTCTGTACATCTGTAAATCAGCTCCTCGTGACTAACCAATCGTGATCTATCAGATCACCAGTGGCCCTCTCATAGTCAGTGTACAGGTTGGATTGTATTCTAACCTCATGCAAACCAAGTACATTTTCAGAAACCTATCTTCCAAATAAAGTCAAAGAGGAAACAAAAAACAATAAGTTAAAATAAATAAATTAGATGAAATTAAGCACAGAGAGAGAGATCCCGCCCCTAAGCCTCACTACGTCACGGTGACCTGGAGTATGTACAGGGTTAACTTCCTAGCAGGGGACAGATCATCGTTGAGTGTCTGTAAAGGTCCGTTTGAACTTGAACTGATTGTTGGTACAGAATACTGGCCAGTGCTGATTAGTCTTCCCATATCAGTCGAACTCAAGTTCGTACCTCACCTGTGAACCAAGTAGCTGTCAGATGATTGATTCGATTGATTGATGACAGCTAGCTGGCTCCCTGGCTGAGGAATGGCAGATGGAGCTCTGCTGTTTGACATGAACACAAACAGACATCAAACATTGAGAGTTGAGGTGACTCGGTTGGCATTTGTCCCATTTGTCCTAAATGACACGCGTGTTGCATTTTCCTCCTGTCTCAGTGGGAGTTTACATTTCCAAGCACAAACACAGAGCGTCGTTTCCACAGAGCTGCCGACTGGAATGCAAAGCACACAGCATTTATATAACATCTCTGCAGTGAGCTAGATAGTAGAGTACAGTTACATCGGTACGACATTCAGTGGAGACTAATAAGTAATTCAGCACGGTGAGGTTCTTTCCTAAAAGGAACAGAGAACAGTCCCTGCTGCATCCAGGATCCCGAGGGCTCGTCGATGCTTCGGGACAGGATGTGGACATTCTTCAGCTGTGAGGACTTTTCATGTCAAAATAAAAAAAGTCTCTCACCAGGAGAGCACGTCAGAGAGAGAACCACAGGAGAACAAGTCCTATGTTACATTAAGATAAAATTCCCTAATACTGCACATCATTCTTCTGTCAGACGCCAACACGTCACTCACATCCAAGCACACAAACAACAGCTCAGGTATGATATGTATTTGCAGTGATAGAATCTAGATTTTTAGAACCTGTCCCCTTAAGTGCTGCTTTTTCTGTTTCCGATCAAAGTCACACATTAAGAGTTCCAGATGTGCTGCCACATGTTCCACACGTGGAAACCTGTTCTGAACTTTGGAGCCTTTTTTTGGGACAAATGTCATCCATGTATGCTGAGCGAGAGTGTGGCGTCACAGTTCACCTAATCCAAATCAGTCCACTGAGAATTCATTATTTTAATCTGATGTGAGCCTTCAATAAACTGTGGGAGTGTAAAATGTACAATAGGGAGTGATTTTGAGTCCTTTTGTTGTGCAGTACCAAAAACACATGACAGCTGATGTTGAGTCGATCTTTTTAAATGTCATTGTCAGCTGACGCTTCAATAAGAGCAATGACAACGCATGCAACAGCTGTACTCGCCCACAGTGGACATCACTTTAGCCTTGTGTGAGTGTTTTTTGGGGACTTTGTTTTGTGTTTGCTCGCGTAGTAATCTGTCATCACACACGCACACACCATTTTAAGCATGTTTCATGTGCTATGCATTTGAAATGTAATTTCACAGGATGCAGTGACATGAAAAAGGATTCATGCTTCAAACTGCACCTGGAATGAGTTGGCGTGCTGACAGCAGGGACACGAACTACCAAAGTTTGCTCCTCCAAACACAAGAATGTTACAATCTGACAGTATTGATTATGAATACAAGATAAATGTTGCTCTGTGGACCAGCATAGCTGTCACACACTTTCACAGTGTAACCTGCTGTGCTACACTTTCATACCTTTGAGTCACTTTACCAAAGGAATCAAGAATTCAGTTGGTAATACAGAAAATGAAGAAGTATTATTTTCATTTTTGTCTCAATGTAATAGAAAACAGATCACAGAGAGCTGTCCACATATCGTCTGACAAATCATGTGACTGCAGGTCTTCTTCACCGGACTGCAGAATCGTATGAGACTTGAACAGACTGAGTAACCTGTACTGAACACATTTACCATCATTTTCACAGTGTAATCATTTTAACGTCTTATTTGTTATGACTGTTATACTTTTTATAGAATTCTTACACTTGTTGCTCGAATAATGTTTCCAACTGAAACAGGCGGCACTTAGTCCATGCTGTGTGAAAGGAGCCCGGCTATAATGAACTAACTGGTGTCTCTCAAGATTCAGTCTGTCTAAAGAAGGCAAATTTAATGTTATAATGAATGAGGTTTGTTGTAAGACACACTTCTGTCTTCATGGTAAACTCAGTTATTGTACTTAAGGCTCTAGTTTCATTAACGAAAAGACACAAGGATGGTATTGCTGCTCTCACTTTGCTATCAACAAGAAAGCAGAAACTGCTATTGCCCCAAACTGAAAAGTTAGCCCCAAAGGTTCCACGTTATCGAACCCATGTTAGATAAGATGCAGCGTGTGCAGCGTCTGTGCGCTGATCAGGAAAAACTTCATGTCGCGTGTCAAAGCAAGAACTGTGAAGCTCTGCGTGCTTTTATTCAGAATGTGACAAATTAACTGCTCAGCTCAATGCAAACTTAAAGCTTTATTTAAACCTGTTTGACTTGAAATAATTTATTATTAATAATAATAATAATATTTAATTACAGTCTAGATGTAAAATCTGGTTTCAAAATGATCAATGCAGAGTTGTTTAAATCAAACCTGAAACTTGATTTTCTGCATGAATTTTGCCTGCTAGCACAAAACTCTGCCTGTAAACTGTATTTACTGCTGAAACTAAAACAAAAAAGTCTTTCCATCTTTACTGCATCCTCTTTGAAATGAAGAAACACATCTTTTTCTTTAAAAAATTGTTATATACTTTTTGTACTTAATTGTGTTAAAGTTGAACATTGTGCTGTGTTTGTGTTTGTGGGGCGATCGTGGCTCAAGAGTTGGGAGTTTTCCTTGTAATCGGAAGGTTGCCGGTTCGAGCCCCGGCTCCGACAGTCTCGGTCGTTGTGTCCTTGGGCAAGACACCCGTTGCCTACTGGTGGTGGTCAGAGGGCCCGGTGGCGCCAGTGTCCGGCAGCCTCGCCTCTGTCAGTGCTCCCCAGGGTGGCTGTGGCTACAATGTAGCTTCATCACCAGTGTGTGGATGTGTAAAGCACTTTGGTGTCCTTAGGGACTAGTAAAGCGCTATACAAATACAGGCCATTTAATCGTCGTTTTGTTTAGTTATATAGTTACAGCTACTCATCAAAGCTTCACCATGTTTATGTTCACAGTCAGTGAGATTAATATTGGATCAATTGTCTTTACTCTGCTGACTTAAGAGGGATGAAAGTCTATCAATGTAAAGAGCTCGGTCAGTGTTTGGGGTCTTTCCACAACACACCCCACTGTGTGCTTTTTACATTAGTGTACAGTTGTCGTGTGTATAGCATTACCCCCGTGTGTCACTGATTCAAGCAAGGGACAGAAAAAGAGGTTATGGAGCTCTTCTCATAAGGCCATAATAGATGCACGCACACTTGGCAGTGCATGTTGCTAGCACTGGAGTCACTGATTAGGCTGACATTCAATCATTCATCGCTGCTAAGCTAATGTAGGCTGGAATCAAACAGGAGGGTTAAGCACAAATGTTAGCACAGCTTGCTGACGGGGAAAACAGGGACTGGCAAGAGACATTGGAAGTCTTATTAGCTTGTTTTGCACTGTGGTTCTTATTAGCTTATTTTATGACAATAAAGTAGGTATTCTATCCTATTTCAATCACCAAGTTACCTGCTAACACCTGACTTAAAATAAGTGGTCAGACGCAGGAATTACATTAAAATTAGAAGTAACATTATCATCCACAACTAAAGTCCAGTTAAGCAAGTAGTTTGTGTAGCTTTCCTATGCAATGAAAGGTCACTGCCAACATTTCGACTGTGCTAACTTTCAGCTTTAGCTCCAAATAAAGTTAGCAACAAAGCTAGTTATTTAAAGCATAACTTAATGACAGTAATTCTTTGTATTCTCAGATTTCATCAGTGAGTACAAGTTAACACCAAAATAAAATAATCTGTGATAGATTCTGCCCGGACTGACTTTCTTCAAATGTTCCTGGTATCTTGTTGAAGTATCTGAGGTGGAACTGCAGCCATAGACTCAGTTAAAGCCAGGAACTACCTCTCTGTTCTACACAGAAGGCTAATCTGACACTGTGGAAACAGATGGCGAGAACACATGGAATCTTTTTCCACGTTTTCCAGTTATTCTCTCCCAGTTCCAAAGTGCAAACAATAAAAGAGAATCTTGGTAAACCTGAAGTATACTGTAACAGGGAAAAGGATCTTATATAATCAAACCTCTGGTATCTGTCATCAGCCTAATTTCCCTAATCAGTTCTGACAAGAGCCACAAAATGAGTTGATTTCATAGACTGGTGCATTCTCAATCTAACCTTCTACATTAGGTCTCAGCAGTTTACCTGGAAGGTTGAAGCAGAAGAGACATGACCGATCTGATCAGCGTGTATCTCCAGGCTTCTGCTCTTGTGCTTTCCTCCTTCGAGGAAACAAACGAACAAACTCGACGTCTGGATGTACACTTATTCACGGAGAAATGTGAACCCAAAACGGTTATAAAAGATAAAACGTTTTAAATATAATAAGAAATATAAAATATTAGACTTCCATGATGTCTATATGCTGTAACCTTCTAGATAACCTTTTGAAGGACTTAAAATGAGCCCCGCTTTAATCCTCGATGTGTCACCTCAGAGACAATGAATAAAGCACCACAAAATTCATCTTAGAAACAGAGACCTAACCATTCAATGATATGTACAATGCATATGTGACAACGATACAAGAGAAGAAAACAGATGACAGAGAAAGACCGAGCGAACCAGAGAAAACACTTATCAAACTCCCGTCATGCAGATACGAATTTACACAGGAGACCTGAGGAGTATTATCTCTGCTGGTTTGTGAGAGCGATGCCCTTCCTGTCACAGTCCCAGAGGCATGTCAAATAAGAGCTCGATTCAGAAATGTACACAAAGCAGGGATCCTTTGAGACCTCTGTGTTATATTCTTTTCAATGAAAGAATTTTGGGGAAATTGGAGAGAAAAATAGGGACAAAATGGACGGAAAATGGAATATCAAGCTTAGGAGTCAGGTTAGGTAGATTTTAAGGGATGTACATCTTGCCCATGTTTTTGAGCAAAGTAATGCCAGAGAGTTTCCCGGGGTGCCTCCTAGGGCTCGATTCTGGGTGGTGTGGCAGCACCCTCCTCGTTGTCTGAGGAATTAGGGGATTCCACAGTAGCAGCATCCTTGCTGCGACTTCCCTTGCTGTTGAGTCTGGGCCCCACCTCAGCTGAAGTACTGCTGCTGCTCTGGCTATCTTGGCCCTCTGAGTTCTCCAGCATCTCCTGGATTAGCGGTGGCATGGAACCTGGGATCTCCATTTTTAGAGAGATGACTCGCTCTGCTCCTGCAAGACCACGGTAGGAGAAAAACAGTTTTGAAACTGGAATATAAATCCTTAACATCTATAGTCCTTTTCTCAATATAAACCATATAATACCTAAAATACTAGCAGTAGGGATGTGCACAAGTAGTCGACTGATTGTTGCTGTTATGTACGAGTCGTTTAATCTGATGGATTTACATTGTAACTGATGCCGATGCTGGTAGATTGTTGTTTCATAAATGTTATGCAGCCATTTGCTACCAGATAGAGCATCTATGTTAGGAAACGCCATAAATCTATTAATCCAGGCCTGAACATCATGTTAACACTGCTATCGTTCTCTAAAGGTGAAAGAATGAGATCGCTGATATAAGCAGCTGAAATTAGCTTTCTCCAATGGGTGGATGGGCTCTCCCTTATTAATAGTGTGAGGAGTTCAGTCGTGTGGGGGGTTCAGAGTATAGCTGCTGAGCCTCCACATAGAAAGGAGCCAGCTGAGGTGGTTGCCTCCTGGCCTCTACTAGCCAGGCATGTCCTACAGGAAGTAGACCCCAGGTAAGACCCGCAGATCCCATCTGGGTCACGCTGCATAAAAGTTATAAATTGACTTGCATGTAATTGACTGATAAATAAATAATCCCATTGAAACCAAGACTGATTGATGCCCCAATCTTATGGCATCAATCAATCAATCAATCAATCAATCAATCAATCAATCAATCAATCAATCAATCAATCAATCAATCAATCAGGGACAAGGAAACCTGCACAAAGTTGGAATGGGCTACTAAACAATCACTAAGCTCAGTGAAAAGGTGAGTGTTAACTGTAAATGCTTGTGCACTAAACCTTACTTAGCCATGGTCACGTGACACAGTGTTTCGAAATATCAGCACTTCAGAAGCTCAACACATTAAAAATGTCAGTATTAAGTGTCCCATTCCCACAATTCCTGATTAAAATAGAAATAGCAGAAATACAAAATGCTGTTGGTCTGGAGCTCCATGCAGGATCTCACTTCATGGGGCGAAAGGTGGTGGACTAGCCCAAAACTACACAGTTGGAGCTTGTTAATGATCTGAAGGCAGTTGGAACCACAGTCACCAACAACACCTGATGTATTTTGTAACGTATTTTGAATACTTTGGATTACTTAATATATTATCATGCTTTTTACAACTACATGAATGTGCTATTGCTGTGTGATTTATTACTGAAGGTTACTCTCCACACCAACACCAGCTAGATGTTTAAATCTTAATATATATGAGTAACAGTAGGTGGACATTAGGTAAGGCTGCACTTTTTGCAGTGATCTCGTATAGAAAACTATTCAGCGCGTATATAAAACAGGTCAGCGGCTCCGAACCGTAGTAAAGGGACCTCTGGCTAATACGTCGGGTTCGTGTCGGGCTCATAGCCGAAAACTAGTTTTACTTTGTTGTCTGGGTCAACTTTGCTAGCGAGAGACAGAGAGAGGCGTTGAAAGGCTGCTGTTGGACATACAGTAACTGTAACGGAATACAGTTACTCATATTTTGTATTTTAAATACGTAACGCCGGTACATGTACTCTGTTACTCCCCAACACTGGACACAGTGAACATCTAAATGATTCAGAGAAGGCTTCCGGTCAGATGAAACCAAAGTCAAGCTCTCTGCCATCAACTTGACCCGCTGTACAAATACACAAAGAACACCATCCCCACAGTCAAGCACAGCGGTGGAAACGTGCTGTAGGACTACTTCACCTCACTGAGGGGTCAATACTGGCTTTTTGTCTTTTCCTTTTAAAGGCCTAAACATATCTATTAAAAACCTTGAAGATGCACTGGATGAATGGATAATTTGGTTGTTTGTGAACATTTTTCTTTTTTAGCATGAGTCAAAAATCCCTTGTGATGGCCAAAAAAAGAGTGGCTTTATTGTCATTTCAGGGATGTGCAGTAGTACAGCACAGAGTGAAAAGAGACAACGTTCCTCCGAGACCCTGGTGCTACATATGACATATAACGGACAAACACAGGACTACGTAGAGTGTGAAGTTCAAAAATTGCAAGAAAACAAGACAAGACAGTGTAACACTAAACAGAACAGAATGATACAGACACAAGCAATGGAAATGTGCAAAATACTGAGTATTGTGCATAAAGTAACTTGGTGTCTGAAGGTGTGTGTGTGTGTGTATGAGATACTGCAGGTAAGTGCTTGGTAGTGACGTGTATGAAGGTATGAGTGTGTCAGTCCAGTCACTGAGTGTTCAGGAGTCTGATGGCCTGGGGGAAGAAACTCTTCCACAGTCTGGCATTGAGGGCCCGGATGCTCCGGTAGTTCTTTCCAGAAGGCAGCAGGGTGAAGAGTGTGTTTGAGGGGTGTGTGTACAACGCTGGTGGCTTGTAGGGTATTGCAATCCAATACGGTGCAGTTACCATACCAGACAGTGATGCAGCTGCTCGGGATGCTCTCAATAGTCCCTCTGTAGAAGGTGGTAAGAATGGATGGTGGGAGATGGGCTTTTCTCAGCTTCCTCAGGAAGTAGAGATGCTGTTGGGCCTTCTTAGTTATGGAGCTGGTTTTGAGGGACCAGGAGAGGTTCTTTGCCAGGTGGACACCAAGGAATTTGGTGCACTTGACGACCTCCACAGAGGATCCATTGATGTTAAGTGGACAGTGATCTCTCCGTGCTCTCATGAAGTCAACAATCCTGTCTTTTGTTTTGTCCACGTTCAGAGACAGGTTGTTGACTCTACACCAGTCTGTTGTGCGTCCTCTCCGTATGCTGACTCGTCGTTCTTGCTGTTGAGACCCAACACAGTCGTGTCATTGGCGAACTTGATGATGTGGATCAAACTGTGCATTGCTGCACAGTCGTGAGTCAGCACAGTGAACAGCAGTGGGCTGAGCACACAGCCTTGAGAGGCTCCAGTGCTCAGTGTGGTTGGAGATGCTGTTGCCGATTCAGACTGTCTGAGGTCTCTCCGTCAGAAAGTCCAGGATCCAGTTGCAGAGGGAGGTGTTCAGGCTCAATAGGCTCAGTTTTCCAATCAGGTGCTGAGGAATGATTGTGTTGAATGCTGAACTGAAGTCTATGAATGGCATTCATACAAACGTGTCCTTATTGTCCAGGTGGGTGAGGGCGAGAAGTAAGGTGGTGGCGATGGTGTCGTCAGTTGATCGGTTGGGCCGATAAGCGAACTGCAGTGGGTCCAGTGTGGATGGCAGCAGGGTCTTAATGTGCCTCATGATGAGCGTCTTGACTTCATTATGATGGGCGTGAGTGTAACGGGGCAGTAGTCATTGAAGCAGGACACTGGGGACTTTGGCACGGGAACGATGGTGGTGGCCTTGAGGCACGTTGGGACAACAGAAGATGTCTGTGAGGACAGCTGTCAGCTGGTCTGCACATTCTCTGAGCACTCTCCCAGGGATGTTATCTGGACCAGCAACTTTCCGTGGGTTAACTCTGCGAAGATTTTTCCTCACATCAGCAGAGGTCAGACACAGAACCTGGTTTTTGTGAGGGGGGTGGACTTCCTTACCAACACATCATTCTGAGGGTCAAAGCGTGCATAGAAGTTGTTCAACGCATCTGGTAGGGAGGCGTCACCATCACAGGCAGGTGTTGTCTTCCTGTAGTTGGTGATGGCCTGGATGCCCTGCCATATGCGCCACATGTCGCCGCTGTCCTGGAAGTGGCTGTGGATTCTTCTGCCATGCACGCACTCTGATAGCTCAAGACAGTTTGGCCCTTGCTGTTACAACTAAAATCCTCCAGGAGGCACAGCACCAGCTGCTCAATGAATGAGTGAAACAAACAAATTTTACCATCGATGTGCTAAAATCTAAAGAGGAGCAGATCCAACAGAGACTTGCTTCGGCTGCAGTGATCGGATGCTGTACGCCCGATCACTGTCTGTCTGTCGTGGTGAAGAGAGAGCTGAGTGTAAAAGCGAAGCTCTCAATTTAACAGTCGATCTACGTCCCTACCCTCACCAATGCTGTGCTGAGCTGTGGGTAGTGAGCGAAAGAACGAGATCGCGAATACAAGCGGCGGAAAAGAGCTTTCTCCAAAGGGTGAGAAGTTCAGCCATCCGGGAGGGGCCTAGAGTAGAGTCACTGCTCCTTGACATCGAAAGAAGCCAGCTGAGGTGGTTCGGGCATCTGACAAGGATGCCCCCTGGGCGCCTCCTGGGTGAGGTGTTCCGGGCATGTCCCACCGGGAGGAGGCCCCGGGGCAGACCCAGGACACGCTGGAGAGATTATATCTCTCGGCTGGCCTGGGAACGCCTTGGTGTTCCCCCGGATAAGCTGGAGGAGGTGGTGGATGGGTGGATGGATGGAACATTGCAGACGTGGAAACAGAGCAACTACGGGTGAAATTTTCAGCCTGTTGCAGTAATGCAAAGCCCCCAGCATCCAACAGGTGCGGGGGGCATCTGTTGGATGAACGAAGGCACTGACATCACTTAGTAATAAAACAACATCATCATCCTTCTGGCAGACAAGGGTAGGTGCACAGTTCTGTGAAGCATGTGGAGGGGTGGGAGTGCATAAGTGTTACTTCTTCCCACTGCTTTTTGAGCACCTGTTGTAGTAGAAGATAGTATTTTCCTTCCTGTGTGTGTGCTCTGTTTTGTATATATGCTTGAAAAAGCTTGAAGATATAAAATTGGATGGTTAGCTGTTTCAATTTAGTCCTGTTCAGTTTTATTTTATTTATTCAGCGCCAAATGACAACAGCAGTTGCCTCAAGGCACTTTATATTGTACAATAAAGACACAACAATAGTAGAGAGAAACCCCCAATAAATGATTCCTTTGAGCAAGCACTTGGCAACAGTGGGAAGGAAAAACTCCCCTTTGGCCAAAATAAAACCTGAGCAGAAGCAGAGCAGCTATCTGTCGTGACTATTTGGGAGTGAGGGGAGGGAGAAATAACAAAAAAACACATAGTGAGTAAAAAGGGTGAGTGAAGAAGTACTCAGTGCATCATGGCAGGCCACTAGCAGCATAAGCATACTGCAGCATAACTAAGGGAGGACTCGTGGTCACCTGATCAGCCCTAACTACATGCTTTAGCACAAAAGAAAGTTTTAAATCTTAAAAGTAGAGATAGTGTCTGTCTCCTGAATCCAAACTGGGAGCTGTTCCACAGAAGAGGGGCCTGATAGCTGAAGGATCAAAAGTCAAGTCAACTTTATTTGTCGATTCTGCCACATGTACAGGACATACAGAGAATAGAAATTGCGTTACTCTCAATCCCTAGATAAATAGCAAATGAACATTTAAATATATTTAAATATAAAAGTGATTAAAAATGCAAGTAAAATAATTAAAAAGTAAAAATTTAAATAAATACAATTTTACATATAACAAGAAAGCTATACAATATACAATATAATGGGTAAGTGACATTGAGTGTAAACCAGGCAGAGTAGTGCAAATAGGCAAATAGTGCAAATGGAGATTTAGTAGTGTACGGTAAGAGAAAGTGTAACACAAAGTCTTATGAGGTAATGGCAATCCAATGCTCCACAAAGTGACTGGTAACTGGTGCAGGCCAGTGAGTGAGTCAGAGAGTGTGTGTGTGTGACAGAGTTCAGTGAGACCGTGGAGGAGAGAGGGGAGAGGGGGGCAGAATCGGGAGGGAGTTTAGCTTCCTGACAGCCTGATGGATGAAGCTGTCCTTCAGCCTGCTGGTCCTGGCCTGGAGACTCCGCAGTCTCCTCCCCGACGGCAGCAGCTTGAAGAAGCTTTGCATTGGGTGCGTGGGATCAGCCGCTATGCAAAGGGCTTTTTTAGTGAGACGGGTGCTGTAAATGTCCTGGAGGGAGGGGAGAGAGACACCAATGATCCTCTCTGCAGCTCTCACTATGCGTTGGAGGGTTCTATGACAGGACGCGTTGCAGGCTCCAAACCACACAGTGATGCAGCTCGACAGGATGCTCTCGATGGTGCCTCTGTAGAAAGTGTACATGATGGGGGCTGGAGCTCCTGCTCTTCTTAGTTTGCGGAGAAAGAAGAGACGCTGCTGTGATTTCTTGGCCAGTGCTGTGGTGTTGTACGTCCAGGAGAGATCCTCTGTGATGTGCACACCCAAGAACTTGGTGCTGCTCACTCTCTCCACAGACGCTCCGTCAATGGTCAGAGGAGCATGTTGGGTGTGCATTCTCCTAAAGTCCACAACAATCTCCTTCGTCTTCTCCACATTCAGAGAGAGATTGTTGTCAGCACACCACGTGGCCAGGCGTCTCACCTCACTTCTGTAGTCGGTCTCATCCCTGTTGCTAATGAGACCCACCACCGTTGTGTCGTCCGCAAACTTGATGAAGAGGTTGGAGCTGTATGATGGAGTGCAGTCATGGGTCAGCAGAGACCCTATAGTCTACAAGTAAGCCAGCAGAAGAGAATAAAGTGCTCTATTGGGACGCTATGGTACTACGAGCATCATAAGATGGGGCCAGATTGTTGAGGAGGATTTTAAATTAGATCCTGGATTTAACAGGAAGAAAAGCCAATATAGAAGAAATCTGTTATTTTTGTCGTGTATATGCAAAATAAAAAGATGTTCACAAACATGTTTACAATTTCCTAAAATATAGTTATTTGCAGCATTTCATCATTATGTTTAATTCAGTTCAATTTTATTTTTAAATGGCAGCAATTCACAAAAGCTCATCTCAGTGCAGTTTATACTGAAAGATAAAGACATCACAATATTAGACAATCCTCTGCTTCCTCTTCGACGTCCAACGTGATCCTGGAGACGACTAGCCGATGCTTCACATGTGTGCACATTCCTCCACTCTTGCACAGTGGGAGAAATAATTATTTGGAGGTGTGGAGAGGCCTACCCAGTGTCCAGACCTCAGTCTTTTAGAAAAATCAGCATGGGATCAAATAATTATTTCCCCTACTGTAAGCTGTATATATCTTTATATCTTTCCACCAAAGGATTTCAAAACTTTCCAAAGAGCTACTATCAAAGCTGTGTCGTGTAACAGCACCTCAACCCAGCTTTAATCATCATTGTCTCCAAAACAACAACAAAGCCTGAACCACCTTAGTGATGAAGAGATGGAGAGTGAGCAATCAGTTAATAACCTACCTTTGGACCGTTAACCATTTCGGCTCAAGCCTTTTAATTAGGTTGAATTTGTTTTATTATTATTATATTTTAATATACATAAGATGTAGGCTGGACATGAAACAGCATATGCATTATTCAGCAAATACTTCATATTCAAATAAATTTATATGAAAGTAAAGCAGCTCAACCTTAAACATGTGCAGCAGTAATATGGGGAATCTTCTATTCTTTTTACTTTTCAGAGTTTTATGTGTCCTGAAGTGTTTTCATGATGTTTTATTTAAAACCACTTTTATTTCCAGCTAATTTTCAGCTAATAATAAATGATCTTTGGGGATATAGCAGATATTTATTTAACTACAGTGGTACTAATAATGCCTTCCTGTAGCTGTCACCACACAGCACTTTAAAAACATCACTTTGCTGATTGTAAGCTCAATCATCACCACACGGTACGCTAATGTCCACCCTACCTTTAGCACTGATACTGCGCAGGTCGGTGATCTTCATCAGGGTTTTGGGGAACATGTGTGGTTTACTTGGCCGACGCTTTCTCACATAGATCTTGAGAGCTTCAAGCAGTGGCTCCTGCAGCTGGTCCACTTTAGAGGGCTCCTCGAGATCCTGACGATCTGATACGCAGACAGATGCACAAAACACGTCAGACTTGAGGCTCAATTAGGACAAATTCATATATTGGTTTTATATGATATAGACAAAACTGAGGCGATTATATGTGATGAAGTTTGGTTTGATTTAGAAGAAAAACATTGCAAACAGAGCTGTTCAGTCGGGTTCAGTGTTGTCTTTCAATAGCAGCAATGATCTCAGTGTACCTTAAATTGCAAAGTTAAAAAACCCTTTAATATAAAAGAGAACAACTCAGCATTTGCTCTCACTTGCGTCCTTTTCCGGACATCCAAAGTTATCCTGCAGACTACTGTTCGATGCTGACTCTTCATATCACCTTGCAGTCTCCTGTCTTTCAGATTACACCGTCTGCATATGATGTAGTCCATATGTGTGCACCTACCTCCACTATACAGCGGGGGAAATAATTATTTGCAGGTCTAGAGAGGCCCAACCAGTCTGTAGACCTCAGTCCTACAGAAAATCTGTGTTGGTCATTGAAGCTTCAAGTTGCCCAGTGGCAGCCAAGAAAGGATTTAGAGTTCACCGACTCCTCGCTCCTGAGATGAGTGCAAACCTGGTGAACAACTACAAGAAATGCCTCACCAAGTACTCAATCGTATTCTGTTTGAGGGTTCAAATACTTGTTTGACTCAACAATAATAATATTTTGTTGTTGTTGTTTGTTTGGTTGATACAGTGTATCTGGAAAGTATTCAGAGAGCTTCACCTGTTCCACCTCTTGTCATGTTACAGCCTTATTTCAAAATAGGTTAAATTCATTTCCACCTCAAAATCCCATAATAACAGTGGAACTGTTTGTTTGCTCACTGTGTTGCAATTCTTGCAAATTCATTAAAGAGAAAAAACTAAAGTATAACATGTGCAGTATTCTACTGACACTGTAAGTTAACGATACCGCTGTGCCTGCAGTGCAGCCAAGGAATCTTTAACCTTTAACCTTTAACCTTCTATAATAGGTTTGTTAGTTTGAACAAAAGTGATTTTAGTTGATATTTTGTTGCTGTTTGGTTCTGTGTGTTTGAGTAATGTGATGGAACTCATTTGAAATATTTACAGTTACCTGAAACATTAGCGAGAAAACAAGATGAGATTACGTGGTATGTAAATAAAAATGTGAACGGATGTTGATGACCTGATGGTGTAATGTGTACTTCACAAACCAGTCATAAGGTGGCAGTGTTTACACTCAGATCTAGACCTGGGGAAACTGTAGTCAAGATATGTGATTACAAATGCGATCAGAGGTGTCTTGTGCCTTTCATGGGTTATGCAAGAGCCTGTAATATGTAGCGAGACCTTGTGGGTTGAATATATATGTATAGAGCTCTGAATGAAAACCCAGCAGTGATGAAATCTGAGTGCTGATGGCGGGTGGGAGTGATTAAGACAACTGAAGCATGATTTTTGGTGGACATACAGTAAATGAAACATTATTACTCTCTAATTTCCTTCATGTGTTTGACAGTCTGATCGTTGCTGCCTTACTCAAAGAAACCTGTGGCTGACTTTCAGACTACATTCAGCTGGAGTCAATACGGGCTAACTGTGCTGAACGAATACGAGTCAGGCAGAGTTTAAATGTGGACTGAATCATTTTCTTTACGTACTCCAACATTTCACCATAAACTGCTTAGTGTATGTCTTTAGACTATGATGCAATCAGGCTGCAAACAGCATGTTATGTGTGGTCCTGTTGGTCTGGCAGCCTGTAATGTTTCACTTCGCTTCATGTGCTCAGTTGTATTTGTATTTAGCAAATAAAGCTGTGATTTGAGTTCTAGTCTGTTTGAGTCCTGCATCTGGATCCACTCAATCACCACGTGGTTTTTGACTAAAACGATCTAAGTATAGTTGTGACTACAGCCAAGATCTGATTGCTTAGATAACATTTGTGGGTAATTCCTTCTTTTGAGCAAGCACAAGCAGGTGTAACCATACAATCCCTCTGAGGACCGACAGAAATGTGATGAGGTCTGCTCAAAATTTGTGTCCTCGTGTCCTTATTTTTTGAGGTACACGTTGTCAGTTTCTCGTCATTCTTTGGTACCAACACTAATCAACACCAACGGTTCCCATTCTCACTAAACGCCTGATGCTCTGTCCTTTATTCACCTCCAGAGATGAGACAGATAGCGCTGAGGAGGCCTGTTTCTGTGTCATCCATCTCAATGGGCAGGAGCTGGTTGGCAAAAGTGAACACCAAGTCAGTAAGCGGGCCGAAGCCAGCATTGTGCATCTGCGTCCGGTTGAGGGTCAGCCCATCTGAAAAGGTCATGGTGTCCTGGTCAGGGGTGTATCTTGTACAGATGCGCAGGATCTGACAGAGAAGCAAACAAGGCAGAAACTGTGAGAGATTCACAGCTGGCAGGTTTTTAATGAAATGCAAGTTTAAAGGGGACCTATTCTGCTCACTTTCAGACTGCATCTTTATTCTGAGACTCCACGTGATTAGCTTTATATCACAATTTGTCCAATAATATAAACTGTAGTGGAGTGCAGTGTAGTGTAGTTTACTACCAGAGAGAAGGATGTTTCTCCTTGCAGTTAGTATTTATTTATTTATTTTTTGTTTCACACATGGTACAGCCGTAATGCATTCCCATACACAACCTTCCTTTCAATTAAAGTAGCACTGTTTCCATGCATGAAAAGGAGCAGGAGGAAGAATAAATTCTTATTGATACCTGCCCCCTATCTGTGATAATGCAAGTAGGCAACCAAAATTACACTATGACAATTTTCTGCACATAACAAAACAAAGCAAACAGAACAATATACTCAACAATGAGCAATACCACTAAATATCAAACTAAAAGGATCATTTTTCTACAATTAAATTCTATTATTTTCAACTTCTTCATATTGGTTTATCATTTTATTCTTATAGCAGATTTTAAATTGAGAAACATTTGTACAACACTTAAGATGATCACTGAGAGAACTCCAGTTTCTTATGCCTGTGACTGTTGGACACATTTGCCTTTGTGTGGTTCGAGCTCAAAATAAAACTTCCTTCTGCCGTCCCCATTTTCTGAACACAATACAAATAAACTTTGTAACTTGAGAGGTAGTGTTTTATTTTTCGCCCTAAACATAATAGTTAAAGTCTGTAATTTCACTATGTCTTCTAGTTTTAATAATTTCGATTTTATAAACAAACTATTAGTGTGTTCTCTATATTTAACATTATGCATCATTCGAAGCTTCTGTAATAAATATAATGGTTTCATATTAGTCACGTATGTATTCCCCCATACTTCAACACAATAGCTCAGATAGGGTAGAAACAATAAAAAATATAATATTCTCATTGTCTTGTAATCTAATATATATCTAACATTACCCAGGATATAAATACTTTTAGCCATCTTTTTTTTAACATGTTCAGTATGAGGTTTCCATGGTAACTTGTCCACTATTACACCCAGAAAACTGAATTCTGTCACTCTTTCAATTATCACTCCCTCTATAGATAATACTATCTCTTCCTCCTTTACACGGTTTCCGAATATCATAAACTTTGTTTTTTCCAAATTCAGCGATAACTCATTTACATCAAACCATTTTTTAATTTTTTTCATTTCAACAACCATAATTTTAGCCAATTCTTTCACAATAAAAATTTGTATCATCTGCAAACAAAACAAAATGTAACATTTCTGACACATCACAAATGTCATTTATATATAAATTAGAGACCACAGAGAGGGCTAAATGCAGACGAGATCCTAAAGACACTTGAAATGTTATAGTTGTTCTGTGTATTGTTGCTGCTGAACGAGCCAGTGATTTGCTGACATGTTCAACCTAAAACAAGGAGTTAAATGCACATTCATCTACCTAACACCTGGCTGCTGTTCTTATTTACAGACCATTATTTACCTTGACATGTTGCTCTGTTTGATTTTAATAGAAGTCAGCTGACTCTATGAGGTCTAACACATTTTACATAAACCAGCAGACACAATACACCAGAAAAACAGTGACCTTCCAAAGACCCGAAAGACACACACACACACAAACATGCAGTGCAACAGGGAGATCCAAAGGTTACTACCTTTGGATCTCCCTGTTGCACTGCATGTTTGTGTGTGTGTGTGTGTGTGTTCACCTAATGAAGCAACTGATGGTGGATGTGAAGCTTACAGTAGCCTTTGAAGCTATTTGAGTGGGTTGACTCTGACAGTGAGTGGCAGGCATGTCTGCAACATGAAAAAGAATAAAACATGGCTACTGGCGGTGACTCGCACCGGCTGGCCAGGCCTGCGCTTAGATACACACATACACACATCTACCCACAAAGTGTTTGATCTTTCTACTGACACTCCCTCACCCAGTCCTTGTGCATAATATCTACGCCCTTCACCATAAAAACGTGCGGGTGAGCGGATGTTGATGGTTGAGTCAGAGCCAGAAACTCATCGTGGTCGGCCTTCAACTTCTCACCTCGCGTGTGTCCCTGTGAGTTCATTACACTGCTTTGTCACACCTGACAAGTACGACAGGCCAGTACAAAGTCTCAAACTCAACTACAGCAATAGCCCCAAAACTAACCTGTTAACAAATACATATAAAGAATAATAAATAATGTGGTAGCGACCAACAAGTCCTGAAATCCTGTGTGATTTAGCTCTGTTGCAACTACATCAATAGCCATCAATGGTGGATTTTACATTCTCAGTTTAATTTACCACGTTTATGTTTATACTATAATGTTAGTTGGGTTTATTAGTGGTTAATAAAGACTATAGCAGATGTATTTGTATCAGTTAAGATCATACATTCTTGCTCTCACTTGGCGGAGTCACGTGACAGTGTGGCAGCTTGCTGCTCTCAGATTCCAGTGGCTGGTTTGTCTTTTACGTTTGTTTACACTTGTGACTACATGGAAACCTCTATAGAGAAAAATGAAGGCAGCGCTGAAGTGCAGTTTGTCCACTGGCCACCTGAGGCTAAAAGCAAATCAGTCACTGCAGACTCATGATGAAATTGCTAACTTTACATAATCGACAAGCATATTTATTTTACAAATAGAAATAAAAAAAGACACATTGATTGTTTCTCCCTTCGTAAGTCTCAGCTGGCGAATTTTCTGATAACTCATCCAAATAGATCCTGGTGGAAGATGTCTGACCTCTTTGATTGACAGCTTCCAGGCACAGCTGGAATTGATCATTGCTCCAAAAACACCTCCTATCTTTCCTAACCTCTTACCCAAATTCTGATGGGTAGGAAAATCGATAAGGGCTTAGGAAAGAGAAGAGCGGAGCACTGAGAATTGGAACTACCTTACACTTGTCTCCTTAACAATGTGATGCTGGATATCCGCCTTGTTGAAATTACAATGTGCAGAAGATGGACCACAAAACTCACATCTGACTTCGCCACATGTTTGAACCTTGTTGTTCTACAGAGGTCATATAAACACAGGCCGGCCTGTGAAAAAATAAGGTTGGAATTTTAAAGGAACAATTAGGTCAAGATTTACTGAGGCACCCAAAAACCTTCTTTAAGCAGTAAAAAGCTACCTCGCTTTAAAGAGGCTCAGTGTCACAACTAGTATTTTTGGAGTATTTTTGCTGCTGGCCTCATGGTACCTGTATTTGTAAGAGTTTCACTTTCAGGAGGAGACTATATAAATGAGTCAATGAGAAATGCAATGTCTGTGGCACACAATTTACTGTGCTGTTTGCTTTTACATACATGCCGTATGCCTACTATGGTTGTGAAAGTTGCTACTAGAAGAGTTTATGAATGCATAATCAGCACTGGATGGTTCAAACTGTTATCACAGAGCCAAAACTGTATGACTTAGAGCCTGTGCCTAGAGGTGAGCCACAACTATCACTCTTCAATAACGCCGGTATTTTCATCAAACAGTAGCAACGAACTGAAACAAGCTGCCTTTTTCTCAGCAGGGAACACACCGTGAGTGACGTCCCTCTGCTGAATCTGTAACAAATAAAAGTGTTAAATGTTGCAATGTGCTATTTAAAAAGAGTGAAACGTGGATCTGCTCAGTAACACAGGAACTGGAACAGCTTGTGATCTCTTATAGGAAATAAATAATGCATTTGTCCAGATCAGCTGTCCTACACAGATTTCAGGTTTATAGTCTCTGGTTAAATCCTGAATCCTAATCCTTCGAACCCTTCACATAAAGAAATTACAGCACATTGTTATTGTATTATTCTGCGATTGTGACATCACAATCATTTGTATTCAATTCAATTCAATTTTATTTATACAGCGTTCGATACTGTCGACCATAATATCCTATTAGAGCGATTAGAACATGCTGTAGGTATTACAGGTACTGCACTGCAGTGGTTTGTATCATATCTATCTAATAGACTCCAGTTTGTGCATGTAAATGGAGAGTCCTCTTCACACACTGAGGTTAACTATGGAGTTCCACAGGGTTCAGTGCTAGGACCAATTCTGTTTACATTATACATGCTTCCCTTAGGCAGCATCATTAGAAGACATAGCATACATTTACACTGCTATGCAGATGACACCCAGCTCTATCTGTCCATGAAGCCAGATAACACACACCAATGAGTTAAACTGCAGGAATGTCTTAAAGACATAAAGACCTGGATGGCCGCTAACTTTCTGCTTCTTAATTCAGATAAAACTGAGGTTATTGTACTCAGCCCTGAAAATCTTAGAAATATGGTATCTAAGCAGATTCTTACTCTGGATGGCATTACCTTGGCCTCCAGTAACACTGTGAGGAACCTTGGAGTCATTTTTGACCAGGACATGTCCTTCAACGCACATATTAAACAAATATGTAAGACTGCGTTCTTCCATTTGTGCAACATCTCTAAAATTAGAAATATCCTGTCTCAGAGTGACGCTGAAAAACTAGTTCATGCATTTATTACTTCCAGGCTGGACGACTGTAATTCATTATTATCAGGATGTCCAAAAAACTCACTGAAAAGCCTTCAGCTGATCCAAAATGCTGCAGCAGGAGTCCTGACAGGGACTAGAAAGAGAGCAGATTTCTCCTGTTTTGGCTTCCTGTTAAATCCAGAATTCAAAATCCTGCTCCTCACATACAAGGTCTTAAATAATCAGGCCCCATCTTATCTTAATGACCTTGTAGTACCATATCACCCTATTAGAGCACTTCGCTCTCGCTCTGCAGGCCTACTTGTTGTTCCTAGAGTATTTAAAAGTAGAATGGGAGGCAGAGCCTTCAGTTTTCAGGCCCCTCTTCTGTGGAACCAGCTTCCAGTTTGGATTCAGGAGACAGACACTATCTCTACTTTCAAGATTAGGCTTCAAACTTTCCTTTTTGCTAAAGCATATAGTTAGGGCTGGACCAGGTGACCCTGGATCCTCCCTTAGTTATGCTGCAATAGGTGTAGGCTGCCGGGGATTCCCATGTAAGAAAGAGTATTTCTTCTTCACTCACCTTTTTCACATTGTGTTTATACAGCTCTCTGCATGTAATCATTACATATTATTAATGTCTGTCTCTCCTATATAGTTTCTTCTTTTTCCTCCCTCTCCTCATGACTGCCCCATACCTAGGTCTGGTTCTGCCAAGGTTCCATTTAAAGGGAGTTTTTCCTTCCCATTGTTGCCAAGCGCTTGCTCAAAGGGGATGTTTGTTGGGGTTTCCTCTCTTTTTGTAGGTTCTTTATCTTACAATATAAAGCACCTCGCTATGATTCAGGTTCACAAACCAGAACACAATTTGTCCTACATTAAAGGAAATGCCAGTGCTCTATGTTTAGTGCTTGCTTCAGCTGCCTCAGCCCTACAAAAGTATTCAGAAGAATTTTCCACATTAGGAAATGAGAAGTATCTCCTGGACAGGGACACAGTGCCTATATTCTGCATATGATTTAATACAGAAACTGCAGTATTGTGTATAGGGTATACTCATCTTAGCATGCATCATATTTTTATATATAGACTGCAATAATAATAGGGTTTAATACATTTTTATATTTCTTTATCAATATTCATATTTTTGAATTTGTATCCCATATTTTTATTCTCTTTTTTCCCCATTTATAATTTACATATTTGTTTTGCACATTGTGAGACAGGAGATGATATGGTAGTATTGACAATAAAGCTGATCTTGGCTATACATTGTTGGCATCGAACAATGCCTCGTATATTAAGAAAATTATGATTGGCTGAGATGTATCCAAGTCTTTTCCACCTTGACAAAAGACGCATCAATGTTAGGCCAGTACAAAAGAAAGCATCGTCCAATCACTAAATAATAACGTTGCTTCTTCAAAATAAAAGCACCCACCAGAATGTCGAGACAGGCAGCTTTCAGTAGTGTGATCTGGTCTGCAATGGTCAGCCCCGTGAAGCCAGGCACTCGTTTGGCAAACTCCACAATCTTGATAATGCACTTAGTGGCCAGCTCGCTGAACTTGTCCCACAGTCCTAGGTCCAACCTCACACGGTGGTCTGCACTCGAGTTCTGCATCACACATATATACGCATACACAGAGAGCAGTGTCAGGCCAAGAGACAGCTACTGTCGTCATTGCTGCTAATGATCTCTTCACTCTGCTCCACATGTCTCAGACGTGCATATAGAATATATTCACCATAAAACCCAAGCTCTCAAAAACACAAAGATTGTTGTTGTGAATATGCTGTACTGAGCCTGGTGGCTAGGCCCTGCGATAATGAGCCTAACAGTGTCAGAGGGATGCTTTGGCAATGACGGGATGCAGCAATGGAGCAGTGACAGATAGTGCAGAGCAGTTTGAAGCCAGGGTATCATTAATACAGCTATATGGTGCAGAATCTATCCAAAGATGACAGGGAGGCAAGGATGGTTGGAATCCATAGAGCAATAAAAACAGGAAAGAGTAAAAGTGATTCAGGGGAGGAAAGAAAGAAAAGTAATGGCAAATGAAGGGCTAAAGTCGGGAACTGTAAGAGGGAAAGGCAATCCTGAGATAATGTCTCATGGACCAGTGCGTTAAAGTGAGAATCATTACAACAGATTGTTGATTTGTGGAATTTAACTTCAAATCATAACATAGTCTGTGACTTTCACCTCTGCTGTGATTTGTTCTGATTATTTCTTGAGTTATTGGCCAAGATGAATCCTAGACTCATTGTTTTTCTATTTTTCTTTAATTATTTTATGATTTTATTTTTTCTTGTTCAGTAGCAGAACTCTGTTTAGGGCTTAAATGCAGTCAAGTCAGGTTTAATATTTGAGATGAAAATGTGAACGAGTGATTGTCTCTCAGAGATCATGTGTGTTTGTTAAATATCATGACAGAGAATGTTTATTCACATAACGTCCACTATCAGATTTTGATCCACTGTGTAATATACAAACCCACATAGCAGACAGGTCTGGCCTGGATCCGGCATCAAGCTGGCACTTCTGACTGACCGGTGTCATGGCAGGGTGTCTGTCAACCAGATGTGGGCCAGGTCTGGCAATGATGGCACTATTTATGTTCCTATTTTAGTTAGAAGACCCAAATGCCATGTTGCAGTACTATACTGCTATGGTAGCCAACGTTTCAAATGCAGGTTTGACAGGTTTGTGAGTGTACACGTTATCCAAAACCTAGTGACAGTTTATTCATGTTTACCACCAGGTGGCTGAAGCTCAGAAGGTAGAGCAGGTCACCTACTGATCGGAAGGTTAGTGGTTCGATCCCTGGCTCCTCCAGTCTGCATATCAAGAGTGTCAATGTAGTTAGGAAGCACTCAGTTTAGAGAAAGTGTGTGAATGTGGTGTGCTGTATAGAGCACTTTTAGTAATCCGGGAGAGCAGAAAAACACTATATAAGAATCAGTCCATTCACTGTGTGAACAGAGATTTGTCATGTTACTTTTGTACTATTGTGTTCCAGCACATGTTGTTATTACATGGCTTGATTAAGGGACACATTAGGCTGACATCTGGGGCCAGAGCTGAAACTGTTCTGGGCCAGCACAGGGCCACCATTGTGTCTGCAACAGGCTTGTGCTGGCCCATGTATGGGCCACCTCTGGCAAACCAGGTCTGGGCCACCAAAGGGCCATTGCTCTTTGCGGTATGTGGGCCATGTGTAAGCACATTGTGTGGGCCAGATCCGGACCATACCAATTTGCTATGTTGGAAAATGTTATTCGCCAGTATGACAGTCAACCCAAATACACTGCCAGTGCAGTAAAAGGACACCTGGATAGAAAACACACACAATGAAACACTATGAGGAGTTGTGCCCCAGACCTTAACATTACTGAAGCAGTGTGAGATTACTGTGACAGAGAAAGGACAAAAGACAGTGAGCATCGAAAGAAGAGCTCTGGATTGTCCTTTAAGAACGGTCCTTGAAGAACTATGCCTGAATAATAATGACTAAAGAAAGAGAGTTCAGTCTGTGTTAAAGAATGAGGGTTTTTTTTACAGACTGGTTACATAATTCCCATTTCAGCAAAATGGAAAAAGAAATGAAAGGCAACTAAAGACCTTTGCACAGATTGTACCTGAGCAGGTGGCATTGAATGGAAGATGATTGAATGTACACTCAACAAAAATATAAACGCAACACCTTTGTTACTGCTCCCATTCCCCATGGGATGGACGTAGAGACCTAAAATTCATTCCAGATACACAATATAACCATCCCTCCCAAACAGTGGTCACAAATCAGTCCAAATGTGTGGTAGTGGGCACATCTGCTATATTGAGATAATCCATCCCACCTCACAGGTGTGCCACATCAGGATGCTGATCTGACATCATGACACAGGTGTACCTCAGACTGCCCACAACAAAAGGCCACCCTGGAATGTGCAGTTTTGTCTCACAGCAAAATGCCACAGATGCCACAAGCAATGAGGGAGCGTGCAATTGGCATGCTGACAGCAGGAATGTCAACCAGATCTGTCGCCCGTGCACTGAATGTTCATTTCTCAACCATAAGCCGTCTCCACAGGCGTTTCAGAGAATATGGCAGCACATCCAACCGGCCTCACAACCGCAGACCTCGTGTAACCACACCAGCCCAGGACCTCCACATCCAGCAGGTTCACCTCCAAGATCGTCTGAGACCAGCCACCCAGACAGCTGCTGGAACAATTGGTTTGCACAACCAAACAATTTCTGCACAAACTGTCAGAAACCGTCTCAGGGACGCTCAACTGCATGCCCGTCGTCCTCATCGGGGTCTTGACCTGACTCCAGCTCGTCGCCGTAACAGACTTGTGTGGGCAAATGCTCACATTCGATGGCGTCTGGCACGTTGGAGAGGTGTGCGCTTCACGGATGAATCATGGTTCACATTGTTCAGGGCAGATGGCAGCTGAGAATGTCCCAGTTCTTGCATGGCCAGCATACTCACCGGACATGTCACCCATTGAGCATGTTCGGGATGTGCTTGACCGGCGTATACGACAGCGTGTACCAGTTGAAGTGGAGTGGACCAACATTCCACAGGCCACAATTGACAATCTGATAGACTCCATGCGACGATGTGTTGCACTGCATGAGGCAAATGGTGGTCACACCAGATACTGACCGGTTCTGGGTCCCCAGACCCCCAATAGTGCAAAAAACTGCACATTCCAGGGTGGCCTTTTGTTGTGGGCAGTCTGAGGTACACCTGTGCACTACTCATGATGTCAGATCAGCATCCTGATGTGGCACACCTGTGAGGTGGGATGGATTATCTCAATATAGCAGATGTGCCCACTACCACACATTTGGACTGATTTGTGACCACTGTTTGGGAGGGATGGTTATATTGTGTATCTGGAATGAATTTTAGGTCTCTACGTCCATCCCATGGGGAATGGGAGCAGTAACAAAGGTGTTGCGTTTATATTTTTGTTGAGTGTAAATCATGAATGGCTGTTGATTGGTTTCAGAATTTTTGGATCACAACTTTTACATGGATAGGCAAACTGTGTGGCAAACCAATCAGGCGAGGAGCAGACCAGAAAACAGAAGACATACAAATGGAAACGGCAGGATACCAGCAAAGTGTGAACTGGTTGGCAGACTGAAAGCAAAGTGATGCAACCTGGAGCAGTAATCGCAAATGACGGGCGCTGAAACAAAGAGCGAAAGCAAAAATAACAAGGAAAAACAACGTGCATGATTATAAAACAATCATGAAGCCAGGCACTCGTTAGTCAAACTCCACAATCTTGATAATGCACTTCGTGGCCACCTCGCTGAACTTGTCCCACAGACCGAGGTCCAGCCTCACAACAACATGCATATTAATCAAACAATCATACTATGAGGACTGGTGTAAATGGTATGGGATTGTGGCAATGTCACTGTTTGCCCGTGAAGGAACTAACGTGGTGATCATTAATGGGCCACAAGCCATTATACTTTCCACGTCTGCAAGTCCAGCAGGGTACCCACCATAAGACAGGCGTGCAGACATCCACATAGAGCCTCGTCTGTTTTCTTTGCATTCTGTTTGCTTGTTTTCTGTTGTAAATTCATCCATGGAGAATTTAAATCTCAACGCACCAATACGCATGCGCTCCAGCTGGTAGACTTCAAAGAAGTATAACAGTATCGACTAGTAGGCTGTACTAGGAAACACTAACTGACAGCAAAAATGGGACATGGGAGTTTGACAGTCAAGAAAGAATGAGTGGCTATCCATCTATCTGGATTTTTGCTTCACACGACAGCTCGCACAACTGTGTTAAAAATGACACGTTAAAGATGTCTGTGTAGTTGCCCTGGCCTACAGAAGCACTGTGATGTGGCAGGAGTGCACACAGTGTGACTCACAGACCTCAGGAGATATGGACACAAAGCCTTTGTGTTACTGTAATTGACTGTTGCTGTTCCAATCACAAATGCAACTGCTCAGAGATGCTGACAGAGGGCTTTGTCTCACCAAGCAAACTCCTTGGACAATTAGCTTGTTTATTCTCCATAAATAACTATTATAAAGTCAAGAGCAGAAAGCATCTGAGTTCACATTAGATTTACAGACTAACCAGAGAGACTCATTATTGTGTATTTTTCATGTCAGTGACAGAGGTGATATTTAAAATGTTTGTTTGAAAAATAAAACCTACTTTCAGGTTTTGTTGTGCTCGAAGAAGGAAAAATGAACATTATATTACGTATGATAATATATTTAACAACAGCAACCTACCGTACAATAGAAGAATACTATTGAACTAGACAGTCACCAGGTTAAACCATGCGATGAACTGCTCGGGGTGCACACCATAACTTCATGAATTCTAGGTACCTTCTTTATTACCAATCCAATGCACACATATACACGAAGCAACATTCAAATCAGTTCAGAGCTTTTATGTAACGTGCTGTTTCTGGGTTTTTGGTTGATACTCTGTCTCTCGCTGTTAAAATTAAACTACTGTAAAAATAGAGACTGCTCATTTCTTTGTAAGTGAGCAAACAAATTTATCAGGGATCGAATAATTATTTCTCCTTCTGTATCTACCAAGAATAGCAGGAAA